GTCCGCCAACACGCCCCCCGCCCCCCCACCCCCACCCCGAACACACACACACACGCATCCTCACTCATCTCCCCTAGCTAGACTCCGATATAGTCCCCCACCCGAGCACCGCCGCCCACACCACGCAGGTGTGCATATTTGTGGTCACGCCTTTCGCGCAAGAAGACCCCTCCCTGATCATCGCCCCCAGTTCTTTGCCTCCACTGGCCTCGCCAGACCATGGAAAACTCCTCGACCGCGCCCCCGTCGCCGGAGCAGACTGGCCATGGCTTCTCTCCGGTCGGCATCACAGGGGCACATCCGCCCCACTCCAACAAGGTACCATATTGTCCGTCGCCCTGCCTGTTCCGCTTCCCTCCTCTCCCAGCCGCCCCACCCGGCTGCCCCTTTCGCCCCCCAACATGCGGGGCCGAATTCTCAAAAAAAAAAACACCCTCCCGCCCACTTCCAGCCCCTTCGGGCGGGGTGGGGCGAAATTTCTGATCGGGCGAACATCTGCCCAAAAATAGGCGTGAGGACGAATGGACCGGGTATGGACCTCTGGTCCGAGGGGGGGAAAGGTCATTTTCTCCACGGCCAGCCGTTTCACCTGGCCACGCAGATGTCCTCGATGGGCACATATGAAGGGGGAACGAATGAGGGGGGGAGGGGGGGGGGGGGTCGGGAGGCGGTAGACCATTGCCGAGTAGGCAATGGCACCTCTTAACAAGAGAATTCCTCCCCCTTTCACTGTGTCTTCCCCTCTTTCCTGCTTTCTCCTTCTCTCGATCGGCCCCGTCCAAATTGTGCTGTATCGAATGACCCTGTTGGGGGGATTTCTCCCCCCCCCCCCCCCCCCTCTCCCGAGAGGGGGCGAGGGAAAGGTTCCCCCACCTGGCAGCTTGCTTGCTTGGTGGCCCCGGCCGATCCCCCGACCTGTAGCCCTGTCCTCTGACAGTCGCCCTTCCACCGTGTTTCGGGGAATGCCCCCGCGTGCCTTCGGCCCTTTTCAGGAGAACACACCGTCGGATTACCTCTTCAGCGACGACACCAAGCCCGAGGTTGACGCCGTGCTGGCATCGAAGCGCGCGCGGAATGCCAAGGCCGCAGCCCGGTCACGCGCCCGGCGTCGAGCCCGGCATGAGGCTCTCGAAGTGCGTGTCGAGGCGCTGACCGCCCTGAATGAGCTCCTCCAGCGTCGGGGGCACTGCCTGAACATGGCATCTGTCGCATGCGAGGAGCTTGCCAGCATTCAAGCGCAGTGTCGGCACTATCTGCCGCTTTCAGCAGCCGGAACCGCCACCCCAAACTCGGGCGGCATGCCTTCGACCGGGGCATTCGCCAGCGGCTTGGATCGTGAGTACCCCACGGCCGGAGGTGCCCCGGTGCAGCCGGCCCCCGAGCATGCCTCCCACACCCCTGTGCCGTCGTCTGGAACGCCGTACTCGGCGTCGCATCCGGGTCCCGGTGTGGCAACCGTGGCCGGGGGGCAACATGATCACGGCATCGGGCGCCCAGCGCCTCCGCCAGCCGGCCCACCGCCCCTACATCCCCATCACCTGCAGCAGCAGCAGCAGCAGCAGCAGCAGCATCGCAGCCAGTATCCGCAGCAGCAGCAGCAGCAGCAACAGCAGCTGCTGTTGCTGCCGCCACATTCACAACCGCAGTTCCACCATGCACCGGCCCCGGAGCATGTCTCCTTTTCCGGCGCCGGCGGCGCCTGGCAGCCAGGGCCATCACCAGGCAGCCTGGGACACATGGCAAATAACATGCATGGGGGGCTGCCGCAGTCGAATTGCGGTGCCGAGGACTTCAGGCCTCCCCACCCGGACGGTCGGTCGCACGGCCACCAACATCAGGCCTTCCACAAGGCGCCTGCCGGCGGCGGGGCTGGCTTCCCCTCGGCGTCAGAGCCTGCCGGATCACACCACCACGATCGCCTTCATTCCCACCACCACCATCATTCGACCCTGCACCATGCCCCGTCATTCGGCCCTCCGCCGCATCACCATCTGGAGGCGCCCCGCCCGCCCACACAGCATGTTGACCGTGGCCCGATGCTCAGCTGAGGACGGCCAACCGGATGTGCCCAGGCGCGCCTTGCCCTGGGCAGACCTCCTGGGGTTCGAGCAAAGGCGAATGTTCGATGCCGGCCTCCCCGCCCCCCCCGCACTCCACCCCACCCCCAATAGAAACATAGATTCGCCCATATTGCCACATTCGGACCATGATCGCCAGGGCGCAACCCTTGCGCATGCCGTTGCCCAGCAAGGGGCGTGGGGCAGGAGCATGGCCTCGGGCTTAATGCCCCGAAGGGGGGGCGAGCGGGCGAGGACCAAAAGAGGGGTGCCCCAGGCAGTGGGCCCCAGTAGAAGTGTCTCCCTTCATCCTCGTGCGGCTGTGGCTCGGGGAGTGAATGAGGAGGCCCTCTGTTTGACAACGAGTCCTCAGACAGGCCCATCGAGAAGCGGCCGCTGTGGGCATGATTGGTCTGGAGGAAGAGGAGCGAGCACCAGCCTCCACCCAAGGCACAATCACCCCTGAGGGAGGGGGGGGGGAACACAAACATGTCGACGAGGGAAGAAGGGAACGGGGTATGTATTTACCTGGGGGCATGGGTGGTGCGAAAGTACGCACGCGCGCAGGCGCGCGCAGCAACACATACACACACACATGCACACAGGTGCTCTGCTCGCAAGACAAAATTGAACAGTGCATCTATGGGAAGTGGGGGTGGGGGAGGGGGGGGAGACAAGGCGAAACGACTCAAGGACAAGGAGGGGGGGGGGAGGAGCGTGCGCGCAAAGGATGGCGCATGCAGGGTGATGCCATCACACTCGAAATGGACCAGCCACCACGAGGGGGAGAGAGGCATGAAGCAGGAGCGAAATAGCTCCCTTGCCACCAGGGCTATGAAAGAGAGAAAGAGAGGGGGAGAGAGGGGGGGGGGGCATGAGGAAGCGCCAGGCAAGGCCCCTTACTGGACAACCTGCGGGAGGTCGACAGGAGCGCGGGCGCTGGACGCCGGGGAAGCGGCGCCAGCACTGGGCTTGATCGAGGCCAGCAGCTGGGAAACAACCGCCCCGAGGGGGAGCAGGCGCGAGGGGGTGGGACCGTGGAGGAGGGTGTTGCCCGAGTGGATAGACCCGCCGATGGCCAGAGACCCGTCGTGAGAGAGGAGCGTGGCGTTCTTGAGCTCGGCGGCCACTTCGCGATCGATGGCCTCGCGGGTGGCCGAGGCGGCGGAGAACTCCGCGAGGTTGAAGAGCTCCATGGCCGACATGGAAGAGGGGAGGAGGTACTCATCGACCGAGATGGACAGCAGGTACGACAGCGGGACCAGCCACACACAGACCGAGTAGAAGGACACCACGTGCGAGGCGGACAGGATGTCGCGGAAGGGGCCGCTGAAGAGCTCCAGCCACGAGAGGAAGTTGGCCAGGGACAGTGCCACCGACACCAGGAACTTGGGGGAAGTCAACTTGACCGAGGGGTACTCCGGCAGGAGGAGGGCCGAGTAGGCCACAAGGCACCCGAGAGAGAAGAGGGTCCGCGAGAGGGGGAAGCCGTCGTAATACCACAGGAGAGCATGCAGTAGCCCGACGAGCTGTGCACACACGCACACACCGCGGCCAGGGCGAGGAGAGGAGGGGGGATGGTGAAAGAGGTGAGTGGCAGAAAGAGGGGGCAGAGGGCGAGGGAGGAAGAAGAAGGAGAGGGGCCAGGGCAAAGGCAGGAATGCTGGGCATGGCATGAAGTACGCACAACCGTCAGGGCACCCATGATGTGCTTCGAGAGGCTGGCGTGCTCCTCGACAAGCTGCGAAAGGTAGTAGAAACTGCCGGCTGTGGAGAGTGACAGGGAAGTAGGGTGTCAGTGGGCGGGCGAGAGACAGAGGAGGAAGGCGCGGGCAGATGGTTGGACATACCAAGGCAGATGGTAGAAAGGGCAAAACCGGTGCCAGAGGCAATCAAGACAAGGACGTCCGCGACAAGCATGTTGGAGACCGACAGAGAGATAGAGAGAAAAGGCGGCAAGGGGGGGAGAGAGAGTCTGGGAAGAGTGGGCGGCGAGTGCTGGCGAGAGTCATGGCACCTGAGTCGGCAGTCGGGGACCTTTATATAGCATGACAACGAGAGGTGGAGAGTAGTCCGGGCGACTGGGATCTAACGGGCGCATCACCCTCCTGACAGATTTCGCGGGAGGCGCTCCGGGGGGGGG